GGCCCAGCCGCTCCGCGGCATGTGGGATCTTCCCGGACCGGGGCACGAACCCGTGTCCCCTGCATCGGCAGGCAGACTCTCAACCACTGCGCCACCAGGGAAGCCCCAGACCTTCTTTTTTTTTTTTTTAATTTTATTGAAGTATAGTTGATTTACGATGTTGTGTTAATTTCTGCTGTACAGCAAAGTGATTCCGTTATACACGTACATACTTTTTTTACATATTCTTTTCCATTTTGGTTTATCACAGGATATTGAATATAGTTCCCTGCGCTATACAGTAGGAACTTGTTGTTTATCCATTCTATGTATAATAGTTTGCATCTGCTACCCCCAAACTCCCAATCCATCCCTCTCCCACACCCCTCCAACCACAAGTGTGTTCTCTATGTCTGCGAGTCTGTTTCTGCTTCGTAGATAAGTTCATTTGTGTCACATTTTAGATTGCTCATATAAGTGATAACATATGGTATTTGTCTTACTCTTTCTGACTTAGTATGATAATCTCTAGGTCCATCCATTCATTTGTCGATGGACATTTAGGTTGTTTCCATGTCTTGGCTATTGTAAATAGTGCTGCAAGGAACATCGCAGTGCATGTATCTTCTCGAATTACAGTTTTCTCTAGATATGTGCTTAGAAGTGCGATTGCAGGATCATATGTCAGCCTCCTTTTAACAGTCAGGTGTCCCAGGGGTCAGTCCTTGGTCCCCTTCTCTTTTCCATCCATCTTCCTGTCTTCCTGATAGCAACAGCTTCTTGGTTTTCAAAGGGGATACCTTAATTATTTCTCCAGCTGGGCCTCTCCCTGAACTCTAGGCTCTTATATCCAAATGCCAGTGTGACATATCCATCTGCATGTCTTAAGAGTCATCCTTGACCCGTCTGTTTCCTCTGACAACGTACCTCAGAAATTGTCAGCTCTGAACTTCAAAATATAACCAGAACTGGTCCACTGCTCCCCTCCACAGCCCATATTCTTCTGCCTGAAATCTCACAACAGCCTCCTCACTGTTTCTCTGCTCCTGCCCGCCTCTCAACACTCTGTTCTTCATAGGACCGTCAGAGACATCCTAAAACAACCCAAGCCAGGAACTCCCTGGCTGTCCAGTGGTTAGGACTCTGTGCTTCCACTGCGGGGTCACAGGTTCAATCCCTGGTCAGGGGAACTAAGATCCCGCATGCTGCACGGCGTGGCCAAAAAAGAAAACCAAGCCAGATGACATGCCTGCCCTCTCAAAAACCCTCTCATGGCTCCACTATTATTTGGGTGAAAGCAAAAGTCCTTATAGTGGCCTTAAAAACTCTAAATCATCTGCCACGACCCCTCCTCCATTACTTCTTGGACCTTGTCTTTCAATACTCTCCTCTTTGCTCACTCCTCTCCACCCACACTGGCCCCTTTCTGGTTCTGTGAATGATCCTGTCACCGGGTTTTTGCACTTGCTGGCTCCTCTTTCTGGAACCCTCCTTCCTTCATGGTTCACCCCTTCACTCCTTCAGATTTCTGTTCAAATGTCACCTGATCAAAGGTGCTTTTCCCCATCTAAAACAGTGCCAGCCCCATCTCTCAATCCCCTTATAAGTTTTCTCCATAGAACTTATTACCAAGTTACATTGTATTTATTTGTTTCTGTCCCCCCCAACTAGAAGGTAAGCCTCATGAAGAGAGGGATTTTTGTCTGCCTCGTTCATTGCTGAATTTTTAGCACTTCGGGTAGTGCCTGGCACATTTTAGGTACTCAAGAAGTCTTATTGAATGAATAAATGAACCAGCACCCTTAGAGCACAACCATTCTATATGGTGTGAAAGTGGTTGCTTAAATGGAGGGGGTAATGCTTAGGGTTTGTGATATCCCCCCCACCCTGTTTTAAAATGGCCTTTCCAGGCTTCCCTGGTGGCGCCGTGGTTAAGAATCCACCTGCCAACGCAGGGGACACGGGTTCGAACCCTGGTCCAGGAAGATCCCCACATGCTGCGGAGCAACTAAGCCCGTGTGCCACAACTACTGAGCCTGCGCTCTAGAACCCGCAAGCCACAACTACTGAGCCCTTGTGCCACGACTACTGAAGCCTGCGCACCTAGAGCCCGTGCTCCACAAGAGAAGCCACTACAATGAGAAGCTCGCGCCCTCCAACGAAGAGTAGCCCGCGCTCGCCACAACTAGAGAAAGCCCGCTAGCAGAAACAAAGACCCAACGCAGCCAAAAATAAATAAAATTTTTTTAATTAAAAAATTTTTTTAATAAAATGGCCTTTCCTCACAGCGTCTGAGATGCCATGTTTTCCTGGTTTTCTTCCTCCTCTCTCTCTCTGGCTGTTCCTTCTCAATCTTTGTTGAGAGTGTCAATTCCTTTGCTCAAACCTTATAGGTCTCCTCTTCTCAAGGTTCTGTCCAGTCCTTGTCTCCATTCATCCTTCATACCCACCGCACACTAGGTCACTAACTCCCACAGCTTCAATTACCATCTTTGATCACCCTCAGATCTTGGTTTCCAGCCCCAATTTTTCTCTTAAGCCCCAGCCCCAGGGGTGTGGAGCCGCCTAAATCCTCATGCTGGGTGGCACACACTGGGCTCAGCATCTTCCTAACCTGTTTCTCCTCTGGGTCTCCTTCTCAGGGAAGCCCCCAATCCCCCCAACCTTCTAGCCAGAGGGCCTCATCTTGAACTTCTCCCTCCCTACCCCTCTGCGGCCACCCAGTCCCAGAGCAGGTTCCCCGGGCCTCCTGGGCATCCAGCCCTGCCACCCACTCCTCCTCCCCTCCCCACAGTCCCACCCTGGTGCAAACGCCCCTCTCCTACCCCAGCTGCCTCCCTGGACTCTCAGCTCCAGTTCTATTTCCTCCAATCCATCTTCCATATAAAAGCCAGAGACATCTTTGCAAACCCCCACTGACTCTCCTTGGCTTGAAGCCCTTCCATGGCTCCTCAGCGTCCTCGGGACGAATCCAAACTCTCTCAAGTGGCCAAACTTTTGGCCGCGGTGAACTCTATGTTCCACTCCGACTGCCTTTCTTTGGGTTCCTCTAACAACCACGCCTCTGTCACCTGACAGCCTTCTGAGTGAGCGCCCCGCTCTGATTAGTTCACGCTGATCCAGGACAGTGTGCGGAATGAATAGGTTACAACAGTCAGAGCAACAACTCCCACTTATTGAAGGCTTTGCGCCCACCGCTTTATCAACAATTTTTTTTAATTTTATTTATTTATTTATTTTTGCCTGCATTGGGTCTTCCGTTGCAGGGCGCGGGCTTCTCACTGCGGTGGCTTCTCTTGTTGTGCAGCACAGGTTCTAGGCGTGGGGGCTTCAGTAGTTGTAGCACGCTGGCTCAGTAGTTGTGGCACGTGGGCTCTAGAGCGCAGGCTCAGTAGTTGTGGCACACGGGCTTAGCTGCTCCCGGACCAGGGCTCGAACCATTGCCCCCTGCATTGGCAGGCGGATTCTTAACCACTGCGCCACCAGGGTAGCCCTGTCCGGCACTTTTAAATGCTTCCTTTCAATTCCTATCTGAGAGAAGAAGCAACAGGTTCACAGACGGTTGCGGTGGGAAAGCTGAGACTCCAGCAGCCGGAGCGGTTACTCGCAACCTAGACAGTCAGGTGGTGGCGGGGCCCAGGCCTAGAGCGGAGCGTGCAGGCGGGTCGCACAGCCGGGCCTTGAACGCCAGAATCAGGAATTGTGACTTAGCTCGAGGCCGCTGAGGTAGACGCGCGCGAGACTGTCCCCTGCAGGCCGGGAGGCCCAATCCCAGGCTCCGCCGGGCCCCGCAGGGCCCGTTGCCCGTGGCAACGCCGCGCGCGCCCCGCCCCTGCCCCGCCCGCCGGGCTGACAGCCCGTCAGCCGCGCAGCAGGCCAATCCCACTGAGCGGGGGGCGGGCCTCGTGGGCCTCGTTCAACCCCCGCGGCCCCCTTCTCCGCTGGGACCCCGCCTTTCTCCGCGCACACCTCCCGCCCTTCGGGCTGCCCTCGCAGCCCGTTGGCGGGCGTACCGTTCCTCTCCGCGGCATCAGCTAATGCCGGCGCGCGGCAGTCCCGTCGGGGCGGGGCCAGGGGCGGTGACGCACGGCGCGGTGACGCAGCGCGACGGCGGCGGTGGCGGCGGCGGTGGTCGGTGAGGGAGGAGGGAGGGGAGCTCGCGGGCCGGAGAGGGGGCGACGGCAGTGGCGGAGGCCTGAGGAGGCCCGGGCGGCGGCGGCGGCGGCGGCGGAGGCCGAGGCGGTGAGTGGTGGGCAGGGTCGGGCGGACGCGGGGCGGGGGCGGGTCGGAGCGCGCGGGGCTCACCTCAGGGCGCCCCAGGCCGCGGGCGGCCCCGCCCCCTCAGGGACCCTGGGAGGCGGCGGGCGCGGAGCGCGGGCCTCCGGGGTCCCGACCCTCGAGAGGATCTCCCACACCCATCCCCCGAGTCGCCCTCACAGGCCGCTTCTCGAGCTTCTCTCCGAAATTCTTGCCCCTCGGGGTGGCCGGGGGGCCTGGCAGCAGCCTATCTCGTGACCCCCCCAGGTGTACCTCGGACACCTCCCTGGAGGGCACGCCCACAGACCCCCCGAATCCGCCCGAAGCCCTCTGTACCTTTCCGCGGTGCGAAAGGCTTCCCGAGAGGCCACCCCTGATATTTCCACGTCTGCTCCAGACCCCGTCCTACGCCTCAAATATCTTCCTCAGAGAACCCCCGTCTGGTCCCAGATCCCCGAACCTCCTCCGTCCAGAAATATTTCCCCGGGGCCACTCCTCATATTCCAACGATATGTATCAGATATCTTCTCCAGGAACCTCCCTCGTAAGCCCTAAAAATCTCCTTCAGATCAGAGATTCCCCGAAATCCCCTCCAGACCCTGTACATTCCAGAAATCTCCCCCAGCGACCTGCTTCGCACATCCCAACAGTCTCCCCCAGACTTCCTTCTCACACATCCCAAGAATTTTCCCTCCCACCTACCCCCATACCAGAAATCGCCTTGGAGATTTTCCACTCAGAGCCCCCAAATCTCAGAGCCCCTCCCCTTGGAATCCTCCAGAATGCCCCTGATGTCCCCTGAAAATCTTCCTCAGAGACTCTCTGAAATGGCCTCGGATCCTCAAAACTCACTTGGAGCGCCCCCCCCCCCCCGCCGCCACCAATCCATCTCCCATATACACTCCCCCTTGACATATCCCGAAAGTCATCCCTTTGGCCTCTCCCACAGGTCCCAAAAATCTCTCTCAAAGACCTCCTCATGCTTCTCAAATCTCACCACCCTGAAATGCCCTAGAGATCACCCTCAGATACCCCAGAAATCTTCCCCTGAGACCCTCCTCACTTATCCCAGAAATCTTCTCCAGAGATTCCCTGAAATCTCTGGAGAACTCTTCTTCCACATTCCACAAGTCTCTTCCAAAACCCTTTTTATGTATCCCAAATCTCCTAGTAACCCACACAAAATGTTACAGAAATTGCTTCCTCAGGATTCCAAAACGTTTCCTCATAGTTTCTCTCTGATATTTTCTAGAATCGCTCTTCGAATCCCCCTTTCAAAATCTCTCCTTCTAGACCTACTTTCAGATGAACTTTCCTCCTCACAAGCCCTGTAAACCCTAAGACCCTCTCTTCACGACCCCTCTGAGATGCAGCTTTTCAAGACCTCCTCCTGTCTTCACAGAGACCCCAGCCACCTCCTTGAGCCCTCTGAGATATGCCCTTGAAATCCCTCCCAGAGACCCTTCCAGCACAGAGACCCTTGAATCAGCACTTAAGAGACCTCCTGCCTTACTAAGAGACTTTTCCTAGATAGTTCCCTCCCTGAACTCACCCTCACAGCTTCCCTCAAATCCTCTAGAACCACCTGTAGAAGACCCCCAGCACCAACCGGCTCCTTTTCTTAGAAAGTCCCAGAATTGTTTTTTGAAAAACCCTCTACTGTGATGTTCCCATATTCCCCCACCCCAAGACCCACCTTCCCCGTATATCCTATTGAGACCTTTACTCAGAGTTTCTCATCTGAGCTCTTTGAGAGCTGTTCCTAAAAAGGCCTCTGTCATCCTGCTCCAGTAAATCTAAGATCTCTCACAGAAGACCACACCTCCACAGACTCCCTTTAGAGAATTTTCTCCAAAATTGCTGTGCATCAGCAACTCCAGCAGTTTGTAAGACTTCCTCAGAACACTCTCTCTCAGGTTCTCCCTCTGACATCCCCAAGAAACCTTATTCAGGGCCCTATCAGATATACCCCTTTTAGAACCCCCATTTACACCCTCTCATCTCCTCCATTCTTTCTTCTGCAATCAACTTAGAGATCCTTCTCAGATCTGAGCCTCCTTCCCCCATTATCCCACCATAGGCCCCCAGCATCCTGCAGACTCCTCCTCTCAAGAGTCTCTATGTCCCCTTTTATTAAACAGATCCTCAAGAGATACCCTCACCTCTTGAAATCCCAACTCTCAGAGATCTTTCTCTCAGACCATTTTTCTTAGGTTCTATCTTCATAGACCCCTCCTCCCTTTAGATCTTCCCTTCAGAGAGATGGAGAGACCCTTAACACCTTCCTTAGACTCTTTTTTTTTTTTAAGGTTTTTATTTTTTTGGCTGCGCTGCAAGGCTTGTGGGATTTTAGTTCCCTGACCAGGGATTGAACCCAGGCCCTCAGCATTGAGAGCATGGAGTCCTAACCACTGAACCGCCAGGGAATTCCCACCCTCCTTAGACTCTCCTTGAAGACTCCCCTGATTTTCCTCTCTGAAGCCTTCTCCTTCCTTTTTCCACTTTGAGGGCCTCCTCACAAAAGAATCCCTCCCCCTGTAGTAGTGGTTCTCAAAGTGTTGTCCCTGGACCAGCAACATCAGCATCACCTGAGAACTTGTTAGAAATGCAAATTCTTAGGTCCCAACCCAGACCTGCTGAATCAGAAAACCTAGGAGTAGGGCCCAGCTGTTTTTAGGAACCTTCCTGGTGATTCTGATGCATGCTCAAGTTTGAGAACCACTGCCCTCTAAGAGGATTTCCCTTTCCCCACAGAAAGCCCCCCTGAAAGATATCTCAGCATATGCCTCTGTGCCCTACTGCCCACCCCCATTTTCCTGGGAGTCCCCTTTGTGAAGTACCTACCCTCCAGAAGATTCCTTACCCTCTTTGAAAGGTTTCTGGTTTCTCCACAAGGTTACCCCACCCTCTGAGCAATTACTTCATATTCCGTCTTTGAATGGTTCCCTTTCAGATCTTCCTCAGCATTTTCTCCTTCTGGCTTCCCCTCCACCCCTCCATACCATCCCCTTTCTGTGCTTCTGCTTCAAGTTGCTCCCTTCTTGAACACACGTGTCCATCTCTTATCCTTATCTAATCCTCATCTATTCTCCACATAGGCACCCTTGCCTTAAGGCACCTTCCAGTCTTTTCATTCTCTGTGTCTTACTGCCCAGAGCCTTCCATTGTACTTCTTAGAGCACCGCTCATCTTCTTCCTTGTAGTTTTTCATGTACTTGTCCACTCACCCTCACTGACCTGGGAGTTTGGAAAGTACCAGGATGTAACTTGTTCTTTTCTGAATCCCACAAGCTGGGATCCTTCCCTCTGTAAGTTATGAGGAATCATTGGCTCATGGGCAGCTCTTCCTGCATTTGGTCAGAAATCTCTGAGTTCCTTACTCTCACTCCCCATCCAGGTTCAACACATCTTATCGCCCCCCCTCCTCTCCTCTCACCTCTTTTATTCTCTCTACCCAGCTCCTTTTGCCACTCCTCCTAGGAGAGGCTGCCTTCCCCACCCTCTCTCATCTGGAACTTTTCTTTGTGCTGTTTCCTGATTCTTAGCTACCCCACGTCCTATTCCTGGGGATCTGCCTCACCCCATCCTAGTTGGCTTCTCAGCCCTCCTCAGCCTTTGTAGGTTTGGGGCCTCCACAGGGCTCTCAACTTTCTCCAAGGGTTTTTGTTTCTCTCTAAGTTTGAGAAGAATAAACAGATCACGAGGTAAATACTGGGGCTGGCCTTCAGGGAGCTCACAGTACAGTAGAGAGGTTGGGCAGGTACACGGGACAGAACGTGAGGTACAAATTATATACTGTGGAAATTTGGCAGTGAGAGAAGGCACCCTCTATCTGGAGAGACTTCATAGAATAAGTGGTACTTGTTCTGGGTGCTGTTCCACAAGAGTTGGGACAAGGATGAGTGGCTTTCCAGGCAGAGGATGCAGCTTATGCAGTGGGTTAAAGACAAGAAAGACTCTTCATCTCTAACCCATGGCATCTCTTCTCTTCACCTAAAGGACAGAGGTGAAAGAAAACAGATCTCTTCCATCTGCATTGTATTTGCCAGATGCACTTTAGTGACCCACAGAGTAATAATGTTAATGACCACTGTTTATTGAGTAATTATTATCTGCCAGTCACTGTTTAAGTGCTTCACATGTATTGTCTCATCTCATATTCACAGGAACTCTATGAGGTAGGTAAACTGTGATTATCCTCATTTTACAAAGGATGAAATTGAGGACAGGTGGCACAAATAGAAGGTCTCTGGGCTCTGTCCGTCCCGGGATGATAGTGTCTGGGGTCAGAGAGTTGGATTTTCTGTTCAGATAGGGTTGGGTGCAATGGGGCATTGTAGTGTAGTGATCAAGTATGCAGACTCTGGGGCCAGACAGGATTTGCATCCCACATCATTGCTTACCCCCTGTTTTGTGACCTAGGACAAGTTATTGAACTTCTCTGGTCCTTAGTTTCCAGAGTTGAAAAATGAAGGTAATAATGGTATCTTACTTCATAGAACTATTATAAGGATTAAATAACTTAATATGTATAAAGTATTTAGAACAATGCCTTGTATATAAGTGCTCAGTTTTAGCAAAAAAAAAAAAAAAGGTCATATCAACCAAGACTCTAAGATATAGGTGACAGTATGTTAGCTCAAACTGGTTTAATAAAAATAAAGAGAATTAATTGGCTCATGTTACTGAAAAGTCCAGAACTAGGATGGCTCCAGACCTACCTGCATCCAGGAGTTCAGTCTTCCTAGTAATCTCTCCCCATTTCTCCACTGACTTAGCTTCATCCTCAACTGGTTTCTGCTTTGTGACGACAAAGATGACCCTCAGCAACTGTAGGCTTAAACCCCACCTTCTTAGCAGTCTCACTGGAAAGAGAACTCTTTCCTGAGAGCCCCAGTTTGAAAACAGTTTCCTCTCTGAATAAGTGTGAAATGGTGACAGAAGATCCTTTGAGACATGTTTAGGTGAGCGGCGCTCTTAGAGACTCTCTTGCTTGCTAAACCAGACAGGACTGTGATTCCATCCCATGACCTTTCTGAGGGTTGATGGTAGTCCCCCTCTTCACTGTTCCCCAGCCCCAATCATTCTCTTCTCTATGGTCGTTTGGATCCAGAGAGTTTATGGCTGGTCTCACCCCACCAGACCTTCCTTTGGGATCTCACTGGGAGAAACAGGAATGAGATGACTGGCCTGGTTTGGTTATAGCCTTGGGGTAGTGGAATCCAGGAGTACTCATGTTCAGTTCCTTACCTCAGCTTTGGGTTTCTAGGACTCAGAACTTTAGAAGAAGGTTAAGCAGATTACTGTGCGTAGAGTTTTGTTTTGTTTGTTTTAGGGTAAATTTGTTGAATAGAGTCTGGTCGAGGGCAAGTAACAGAACAGCAGTGTAGAGTGTGCACATCTCAAACGTCTCCAGCAATTAAACAATTTATGAAAGCACTTTTCTAGGTACTGGAGATACAGCAGTGAATGAAACAGTCAAGGTCTTAGAGCTCTTGGGTCTTATATTCTGATGGAGGGAAGATATATAAACAAAAGAAATCAGATAGTGATATGTGCTATGAAGGAATTAAAACAGTGTGAAGGGGGTGGGAGGTTGGCCACTGTACACAGGATGGTCAGAATTGGCCTCTGAGGAGGTGACAGTTGAGCCTGATAACCTGAAAGATGAGAAGGCACCAGTTGTGGGAAGATCTAAGAGCTGGGCATTCTAATCTAAGCATAGTTACATGTGGAGAAAGGACTGCTGCAAGGTGGGGAAATTTTTCACAGATGCTTACTGAGGGTCTGTTATGTGCCAGGTACTATTCTAGGAATTGAAAATGTAGCCGTGAATAATACAGCCACAGTCTTCCTTTCCCTCGTGGATCTTACAGTCTAGGTGTTTCCGGAAGAGCTGCAGCCTTTGAAGAAACAGTTTTTGACGACGATATCAGACCAAAGACTCCTTCCTACTGGGGAGATGAGGAAGATTGGGGCACACATGAACCCAGATCTGATTGATGAGAAGGAACCAGCCATGTGATGATCTGGGGAAGAACATTTCGGGTAGAGGGGTCAGCCAGTGCAAAACCCCTGAGATGTGTTCAAGGAACATCAAGGAGCTCGTGGCTGAAGCATAAGTGAAGCAGAAGGGGCAAGGGCTTGGAGTGGTTGACAGAGGCCAGATCATGTGGGGCCTTGTGGGCTATGGTAAGGAGTTTACATTTTCACATAAGAGCATTGCGAAGCTATTAGAGGATTTTTTTTTTTTTTTTGGCTGCGTTGGGTCTGTTGCTGCGCGCGGGCTTTCTCTAGTTGCGGCGAGTGGGGGCTACTCTTCGTTGCGGTGCGCGGGCTTCTCGTGCAGTGGCTTCTCTTGTTGCGGAGCACAGGCTCTAGGCTCACAGGCTTCAGTAGTTGTGGCTCGCAGGCTCCAGGGTGCAGGCTCAGTAGTTGTGACACACGGGCTTAGTTGCTCCCCGGCATGTGGGATCTTCCCGGACTAGGGATCGAACCCGTGTCAGCTGCATTGGCAGGCAGATTCTTAACCACTGCGCCACCAGGGAAGTCCCTATTAGAGGATTTTTAAAGCAAGACAGTGACATGATTTGTTTGTTTGGTTGTTTGTAAAGAAAATTCACTGGTTTCTGCAAGGAAAACAGGGGCAAGAATGGAAGCAGGAGGCAATACATTTGTCCAGATGAGAAAGGATGATGAATTGAATATGGTGGTGGTAGTAAAAATGGAGATACAGATATACATGTTCCATGTTGAGAAAACAGGAGTTAATGATGGGATTAGAGAAAGAGGAATCCAGGATGATGATACTAGGTAACAAGTCTGTGAGGGTATTTATGCCTCACAACACTATGAGAGTAGGTACTATTATTAAACCCATTTTACAGATGAGAAAACAGACACTGCAAGGTAAAATCATTTGCCCCAAATTATGCAGGTTTCCCAGAGCTCCCCAGGCTCTGTTATCTTCCAGGAGGCCCTGCCTGGCTTCTCCCCTCCTCTCCTTCCCTTCTCCAGGACCATTCATACAAGAGCCTCATTCTTGGCTGAGGCAGTAATATGCATATTTTGTATACATATTTCACGAGTTTCTGTAAATAATGGTTGGTTTTCATAAGAGAGAAGTTGGGGTCCCTTGGCTTCTGACATTCTCCTGTTCTTCTCAAGTTGGGATAGTGAGTTAACCTTAGGTAACTAGCCTATTACTTTACTCATGAAATGAACAAGCTCCTCCAAGGCCTATGTGGATGCTGTAGAAAGGCTAGGTTTAGGTGGGAAGGCTAATAGGACCCTCCCGTTATTTGTCCAGAGATGTTGGCGTTAAAGGGTGTATGCTTTGGTCCAGCTTGGTCCAGCTTTCTAGGCAGTGGAAGGGAACTTATAAATATATATAAATATATAATATATAAACTTACAAATATATGTATATGTATAAACTTATAAACATATATATATTTATAAGTTTATATAATTAAATATAAATAAATACGCTGTAGCATTATTTGCAGGAAGAAGCAGACTGCTTGGCCTTAAAAATCTCAGCTTAGCTGTGTGCAGTCTTGGGTAAGTGGCTTGACCTCTGTGTCTCAGTGTCTTCATCTGTAAAATGAGAATACTATTATATACATATATATATTTGTAGTTATAGTTTTTGAGATCAGATGAGCTCATCCATGGAAAGCTGTTAGCATAAGGCCTGGCACATGATACAATAATATATGATGTGAAGACATTTGAAGCATCATGCTAGGTGTTTTTATATATATTCTTTCATTCTTACAACAAGCTTCACTGAGGAAGAAACTGAGTTACTTGCCAAAGGTCAGCACAGCAAGTTGGTATCAGTAGGAGAGCTCTGGTTCAGCCAGGTCTCACTCCACAGTGCTGCTTGTGGATGAGGGGAACTGACCTCCAGAGGCGCCTCCTGTATGTGGGCTGTTTTTCACTGGGGCCAAAGAAAGAGTCCAGTGGACAGTTTTTCCTGGAACCTCTTAGCCAACTTTTGACTCCATTTCCCACCCTCCAGGGTTAGAAGATGCTTCTCAAGAAGGTTACTTGGTCTCTTAGAGACCAAGTATGGCAGCCATATTGTTGGACTATTTGAAAGACTTTACCATAGGGGTTCCCCTCTAGTGTCTTTTCTCAAAGGCAGGGAGTCATTTTTGGTCACATAAGGATGGAGACTAGAGCAGTGGTGAATTCTCTTGTATGGGAGCAGTCAAGGCTTAAAGTTGAAACTTTAAGTGGTAGAAACCCAGCTCAAACTGACCTCAACACAAAAGGAATTTATTGGACCATGTAACTGAAAAGTCTGGGATGGGGAGGTGGGATGGGGGGCTTCAGGCTAACTGGAGACAGGTCTTCAAATGATGTGAACAGGTCTCTCTTTTTCTCCCCTCTTTTGACTCTGCTTTCATCTGTATTGGCTTCATTCTGAGGTAGGCCCTCACTGTGAGGTAGCAGAAGTGGCAACCAGGAATATCAGGAGATGTTGTATAATCTGAGCAACCCTAACCAAGAACTTATTTTCCCCAATATTTCCAGCAAAAGTCCAGGGAGGCCTTTCCTTGGCCAGGCTTTACTCCATGTATGCTCCTAGATCCAAGAAAGACAGTTAATTCTCCAAAGGGAATTTAGGGGCCTGGTACCAGAAGATGGGCATGGATGTTTGGCAGACAAATCCACCAGAATGTATCATAGTAATTTGCTACCACAGTAAGATGTCTTCAAATAGTCAGGGCTGATGCCTCTTCCCTGGCCAGTCTCACCAAGCCAGGTCTTCCTTTCTCACTGTTGCCAAGCACGCAGGAGAGGAGGTAGCTGGGGGCCTCTGGCTTTTTGATGGAAGAAAGCCATGCAGTTCTCCTCTCCAGTCACCATCCAGACCAAACACCCAGCATTCTCCTGTCCAAAACATAGGAACACTTCCTTTAGGGATGATTTTTGTTGAAGTATAGTTGATTTACAATGTTGTGTTAATTTCTGGTGTACAGCAAAGTGAATCAGTTAAGTGTGTGTGTGTGTGTGTGTGTGTGTGTGTGTGTGTATTCTTTTTCATATTCTTTTCCATTAGGGTTTATTACAAGATAATATAGTTCCCTGTGCTATACAGTAGGACCTTGTTGTTTTATCTGTTTTGTATATAGTAGTTCGTATCTGCTAATCCCAAACTCCTAATTTGTCCCTCCCCTAATAGTTTATTCTTAAACATGACTGTTTGTTACCTAAAGCCCCAGTGTTTCCTGAGGACTGTCCAAGCCATACTTGGGCACTAGATCCTCTCTGCCAATCATGTTTCCTGAGCAGTGGGGTGGCTTAAACGTGTAGGACCTTCTCTAGGCCCTCGAGAGGGATAGTTATCGGACTTTTGGTCTTATCACAGTTTGTGTCTATCTGGTCTAAGGACTGCAGGCCCCAGGCTTTGTTTGTTCTGTATAGTGGTTCATTGTTGCTCTTTTAATATGAATTATTTTCCAACATTTAAAAATAGGGGGATTTTATTTTAAAATCCAGATTTCTGGCTCCTCTTTAAAAAAAGTATATAATAATCTAAGATCTAACAATACTGGACCCAAATTCCTACATGGCAGCAGTTGATTAGAGCTAAATAGTAACTTCTCCCTTTAGACAGGGTGTGTGCTTTCCAGCTCACCGTAGTCCTCACCAGCCTGCTCCATTCAAAACCTGGCCTTGTAAGCATCATGTTTGAGATCCTGCTGTGTCCCAAGGCTTTGCTTCTAGCATTTGGCTCAGGGGAAGAAACTAGATTAATGTTCAGTCAGCAGTTTATTTGGGGGGCACAGTGCTGTTGGGGGGCAGAGTGCTGTTGCTTGGGAAAAGTAACAACCCAGTAAAAGTGTTTATAGGAAAGAGTGTGCACAACTTTGGTCTGTTTGTGGATTTGGTCATCTTTTTGCCGTAAACGCTGTTGGCATAGCAAACCTCCCATCACAGTTGTTCCCTCTGAAATAGTAACATGTCCTTCTATCTTATGAGTTGCCACCCAGTGAAGGAATCCCTCCCACTCCCAAGGGATATTCATCCAGCCTCTGCTTGACCACTTCCAGCAGCCAGGGAGCTTATTACCTCCTCATATATGGCAGCCAGTTCCATTCTTGGACAGATACATTATTTTAAAATTCTTCCTTATGTTGAGGCAGCTGCTGTCTCCTTGGGACTGAAAGCCACAAAATGCTGGAGCTGGGAAGGGAAACTGATTTTTTTCAGGCACATGAGCTACCACTCATCCATCCCGTATCCAGGGCAAACATTGATAATCAATCACATTACTCTTTCTCACTGAGCCAGAAAGTAAAATGCAGCCTTAATTTTTTTAAATTAAATTTATCTTTAAAAATTACAAAAGTAATGTATGTTCATTTGCAACTAGTGAAATAGTACAAAGTTATATAAAGAGAGTGTTAATAATTCCTCCTTCTCTCAAGGTAACCAATATGAACAGCATGCACATTTTTCTACATACATACATAGACATTGACATATGAGATATATAAGGGCTTTTGTATATGGCTCTTTTTTTTTCATTTTACAAAAATGGCATGATTGTACATATTACTATGTACTTATGGACATCCCTCCATCTTCGTAGTTAAAGATCAAACACTGTACTTAGATCTAAATGTATTGTTTGTATGCTGCTATCAAGATCAAGCATATTTTTAATTACTATCTAACATCCCCTTATATGAGGTGTGCTCCAATTTATTAGTCATTCTCCAGTGATGGATATTGCCATTGCTTCATTTCTTCAGGACCCTTCTCACTGCAGTGTTCCGGGCAGCCACTACCAATCGATTGGAGTTAGCCTGTGAGGTAAAACACATTTGTCATGTCTGACAAATGTCAGTCTCGCTCCTTATCTCACACATTCTAGAGAAGGGAAGCAGACTAGCTCAAAGATTAAAGTGACAGAGTGGCTGGGGCAAGACTAGAACTGAATTTTCTTGAGTTTCAACATTTCCCATATCTAAGTGCCTCTCACTTAGAGCCATCTACCCTTTTTCTCCTCTGGAGTAAATAAACAAATCTAATTCTTCTTCTGTGTGCTACCCCTTCAGGTATTTGAAGTCAGTTATGCCATTCTTCCTGAGTCTTCTCTTCCCCAGGGGAAATTTCCCCAGTGCCTTCAAATTTTTCTCTTAGGGCAAGGTTTCCAAATCCCTTTACCATCCTTTGGGCCATTCCTTCTATCACCTTCTCCCCAGGGGCTGTAGAAGTCCCAAGTGTGGCTTCCATGCTCACTTTCATTTATTCATTCAATAAATATATATTGAGCACCTTCTAAGTCCTAGTCACTGTCCTGGGCACTGCGCAACTATATAGCTTGCATTTGTTGGGAGGAGAGAAACAACAAACAAAAATATGATGATATCTGAGGGTGCCAAATTATATAGAATAAATGAAATAGCATTAATAGAGTGACAGAGAGAAACTCCTTAGATTGGATGGTCAGGGAAGATCTCTCTGAGGAAATGACATTGAGCTGAGACCTGAGTGACGAGTAGAAGCCAGCCTTGCATAGGTCTGGGGGAAGCCATGGATGGGTCCAAGTGAACAAGAGCTTGGTACACAGGGAGGGTGGAGGGGCCACCAGAGTCTTGCAGGGAGCCCTGTAGGCATTTTATTTAAATACGGTAGGAAGTCATTGGAGGATTTTAAGCCAGGGAGGCAACATTTGATATGTCTTTTGAAAAGATTTCTGGGAGGCTTGTTTAGCTGGGGGAGCAAGGTTTCATTTCCCCACACACACACACTTTCTCTTGTTTCTTATATCCAAAGGGATTGACAGCCAGACCAGTTTGCTCTGTTCAACTGTCCCACTGAGGATCTATTGAGGTGAGTCACAGCCATTGTCAGTTGTACCTCACAGCCCTCCTCAGCAGGAGCGTAGACATTCAGGGAGATGGCAATAGCTCCCTAAAACCTAGCCCAGCAGGTTCAATGGGTCTTTGTATGGAGTTCTCAGTCCTCTTGGCAGCCAGAGGGAGATGGAGCCAAATGGTTTGGGGATGGAGCCAAGAGCACTGGTTGCAAGAGAGGCAGAAGGGAAATGTGAGTGGAGACCTGGAGCAGGAGACACTTAGAAAAAGCCTTAAGAGTAGTGTCCAGAAACCAGTCAACTGAAGAATAGGCCTGTTGTCTGCCCAGTTGACACAGCTCCTGTGTAGTTCCTGCCTGCAAAAGGAATTTGGACACTTTCTTGCTTGGGAGTTTTTAACATCTGATGTGTCGCCTTCTCAGGTTGGTATCCTCTTGGCTCTTAGGAGTCTGAGTGACAAGCTGCCATGTCTGGGAGCCAAGGGGACATCCCAACCCAGAGGACCTGGGTCAGGAGTAACCTTCAAGGGAATGAAGAAGAAGGGAGAGATTCACTTCAGAACGGGGATAGGTGGGATCTTAGAGATCAGAGTAGGAGAGCTGGGTTGGAACAGATGAGATTCCCCCCAGCATGTTGGAGATCTTTGAAAAGGACCTCTGCCCCTACCCTTAGGCAACCAGTTACTGATCAGTTAGCTATCCACATACCTGAGATCTCCACCAGGGTCACCACCCACCTATATCCTAGCCTTGTGGGTCTTAGCTTGAAATAATACAAAGAGTCCATAGGGTCCTTTTAGCAGGCGAGCAGTCACTCTGCCCAGCCCCCTGAAGGAGGTGACCAGAGACCAGCAAGGAAAGGGCATGTGCTCAGCATCACATGTCTGCTTAGTCATGTCACCTGGGGCCAGGTCTCCATTAATTCAGATATTTTGCCACAGTGTGCATTGTCTCCTATTTCCCATCTAGAATATCTTACCAACTTACTCTCTGCTTTAAATCCACTTCCTTTGGCCCTGTGACAGCCAGACCTGAGGGGCAGCATCTTCTCCTTTGTCTGGGTCTCTGAGTCCCAATCAAGCCTTTTCTCTGGATCTGGAGATTGGAGGGAGAGTTGGTTTAGTATCTGGTTAGCTTCATCTTTCTCCCAGGAGCTCAGCAGGGTAGGTACCTTGAAAGAGGAAGGCATGAGGCCTCCTTACCCCTTCAGCCCACACTCACCAGGCCAGTTCCAGCCCCTTCATTCTCTCTGACGACCTTGCTTCCTTTTCCAGGAGCCTGGAGAGGAGTGGCTAGACCAAGACCTCCCCCGATGTGAGCAGGTGTCCTCCTCCCTGCACCACCCATTGCCACCACGCCAGGGAACATCCTCAAGCCCTGGCCCTCAGGGGAGAGGTAACAGGAGCCCGCAGCCGAGACCATGTGACGGCGCTGGCCCTTGCCACCGCCGTCCCCCCCACCCTGGCCCCAGGCCTGGCACCATGATGTTCCGAGACCAGGTGGGCATCCTCGCTGGCTGGTTCAAGGGCTGGAATGAGTGTGAACAGACAGTGGCCCTGCTGTCACTTCTGAAGAGGGTCACCCGCACCCAGGCCCGCTTCCTACAGCTCTGCCTGGAGCATTCACTGGCGGACTGCAATGACATTCACCTGCTGGAGTCGGAGGCCAACAGTGCTGGTGAGTCTCCAGCGATGGGTGCACAGCAGGAGGGAGACCTGGAACGGGAACAGATATCAGGTGTCTGAGGAGGCCTACCCAGCAATGGCACTAAGAAATGTGGGTTCTAGGCTTGTTGGTAGGTGAGAAATCCCTGACCTCCCAGGTCATCATCATGGCTCTTCTGGGGCTTAGTTGCCAGAAATCCTCAGACATGGAATGGGGGGCTCCTGGGGGAGTGCAGTGCAAACTAGAAACTACCCATAACAGAGGAAGGATCATGTAGGGTGGCTGGTCTGGGTGGCTAAAAGGAACAGACTAAAGTCATTACCTATGAAAGGGGGACGGAAGGTGAGCATTAGTTCATTTCTCAAGCTACGGGACGTCAGAGCTAGGAGGAAATTTTAGAACTCTTCCAAAATTCACATGTCATCTTATACTGTTCTTTACCCCCTCAAAGGTAGGTTGCACCTAAGGCATAAACAGCTTCAAGAGAGTTTTGAATTTAGATATAGTCCGTATCAGTTTCCTGAACACTCAGTAGAGAAGTGCTCTTTGTCCCACGAAGTTGACATTGGGATGGGTGAGCTAGGCTTTGCTAGAACCTCTCCCTCAGGCCCCAGGTCTAGCTAGGAGTTAGTCCAGAGAACCATCTCAAGGGGCACTGCTGAAGCCATTCTGGCCTTCTGGGCCTCCACAAGGCTGGATGGAGAGGTGTTGACCTAGGTGACGCGTGGGAGTGATGGAGGCCAAAGAAGGGGGGAGTATGTGCACCTGAAAGCTAGCTGGGGAGAGGACCCCAGGACCCCATGTAGCATGTGTCCAAACTTTCCCATGTTCTTCCTCAGGATAACAGTTCACATTGAGTCCCTACAACAAGCCAAGTACTGGTTTTACTTGTATAGTAACTTTGAAAACTGTTCTTTGGTGGCTCTAGAGTCAGACTGTCGAGGTTTAAATCCCAGTTGTGTCACTTGCTGTATAATCAAGTAACTTCACCTTTCTGAGCCTTGGTTTCCTCTTCTTTAAAATCAAGATGATAACTGTGCTACTAGGTTAGTTACGACCCCTCTGAGAACAGTGCCTGGCATGTACTAAACACTCAATAAATGTTAACTGTTATTTTTATTGTCAGTAACTCATTTAGTCCACGCAGCAACCTCATGAGATAGGTAATGTTGTTGTCTCCATTTTATAGGTGAGGAAATCAGCATGGGCTGCTAGGATTGGGATTTGGGGACCCCCAGAGCTGCTTCCTTCCTCTTCTCAGGCCTACCCGTCTTAGCAGCAGTCACCTTCATTTTTCTGAGTTTTTATGTACAATTCACAGAAGCACCATGGCTGTAGGGGAAGACAGTTCCTCAGGCCAGGAATCATCAGCTTAAGTCCCTGTCTCGCAGACAGTGGGCAGCAGGAACCCAGCTTGGCTCCAGCAAGCCCAGACCTCAGCTATTTCACAGCCCTCCCATCCTCCCCGCCAGGGAGGGTTCCCCTCTGCTCTAGCACCAGGGCAAGCATTCTGGGGTTGTGGTATGGCTCTGCCCCTAGAGTGGGGGCTCCTTTGGGGCAGGCCAGTGTCTTAAGAAGCTTGGTCACACATCCCCACCACCCCATCCTGAGCAGGGAGTTGGGTGAGCACTGGGTGCCAATCCTGACTGTATATCAGAATCACACCCGTGCTTACTGCTGTTTATTTATTAGAGCATTTTTAGTTTTTGCTTTTGTTTTCAAAATTTGTGGTAAAATCAAACCATATGAAAGGTAAAAAGTGAGGTCCCCTTCCAGACTTCCACGTTCCCAATTTGTGTATGTTTTATGAGATATTCTGTGCATGTATGAGCACATACAAGTTCTCCCTCCAGCTTTTTCATTGTTTTGATTGTTTTAGCACAAAGAACATTGCACATATTAACCAATTTGCTTTTTTCACTTAACAGTATTACTTGAAGATCATTCCTTATTCAGCACATACGTGTATACCTCATTGTTGTTAATGGCTGCTTGATTGTAAGAATAGTAAGGTAACAGAGCCTGACCTGTGTATCAGGCAGTGCTTTACTACCTTTATTACTCGTAACCCTCACAACAGCTCTGTAAGGAAGGTCTTTTAACTCCCCCATTTACAAACAAGACTGAGGTCTGCAGAGATTAGTGGCTTGCCCTGGGTTGTACAACTGGTCAGAGGTGGAGCTGGAATTTGACTTTAAATTTCTTCCTCTTGATCAGTAGGCTCTACTGCATGGTATGTTTTGTCTTACTCTTATAAGCAGTGCTGTAATGAGTACCCTTTAAGCATCTCTAGGATAAATTTCTAGAATTCTGTGGGACTGCTAGTTTGAAGTTATGTACGTTTAAAATATTTGTTGTTACCACATTGCCCTTGAAAGACATGGTACACTTTATACCATGGTATACTTTATGCCTGAGACCCATCTCAGACCGTTTACATTAAGATATTGTGGTTAATGCCTGTCCTTGAGAACTGCTGTGGAATGAGTTGACTAGTGAATGAATATATGAATCAAGGTCTTTAACCATAGCCCCATGTCAGGTGGTGAGAGGAAAACAAGTTGGTACTTAGGTGGATGGAGAGTTAGGGAAAACTTAAAATGAGGGAAGAGAGGGAGGGCCATGGTGTGTTCCAGAGTCAGCAGGAAGCCTGCCAGGATTAGAGCAGAGCATGACTGGAGAGAGAAGTGATCACAGAGGTAAATCCTGTGGGGCCTTGAAGGCCTCTTCCTAATAGACATGGGGACTCGAAGACTGTGTCTCCTGTCTCCCTCCCAACCTCAGGTAGAGCAGCTGCCCTGCCTTATTTGTGAAGGAAGGAGCTGCTTCCTGGGCTTGGAGGCCTGCATCCTTTTGGAGGGCTTGGAGGAGCTCTGCATCCTCTGTTCATTACGGCTTTCCCATCCCACTGTGTTTCCCAAATTTGCATCATCAGAATCACCTGATGGGGGAGAATGTGACCTAAAATCCAGATTTCTGGGCCCCTAACCCAGACCCACTCAATCAGAGTCCTGAGAGGATAGGCCTGGTAGTGGGTACCCAAGTTCTCTTGGTGACCAGGCAGTTTGAGAGATGATGCTTTACTGATGATTCATTTGTCATGGGACATGAGAATAGGAATCAGGACACCCAGGAGTTCTAGATCAAGCTCTGCCACTAACACCTTTTGTGACGTGGGCCAGCCCCATCCCTCTTGGGCCTGAGGATTCACTAGACAGTACGGGGATTGTTCTAGATACTCTCCAAGTACATCAGTAGCCCTTAGTATTTTATGGGGTGGGCCCCTCAGCGAACCTGTCCCTCCTTCCCACCAAGATGCACACTTACCCCACAAACCAAATCTTCAGTTCAGTTGGTCTACCAATTCTGGATAAGGGTTGCCTATAACAGGGTCTGAAGCTCTTCTTCAGCTTTTCAGATCCCATCAGGCCAGGAGGGCCGAACAGTGAGGCAGATCCTCTGCCTTTTTCTGGGTTTATACTCCATGTCCCACCCATCCAATCCTGCTACTTCCTTCAGTTCTCCCAGGGAGACCCTGGGTTCAGGTTTGGGTCAGAGCTGCCTACCCACCCATCTCCTTCTCAGAAAGGGCCAGGGAATGCAGAGAGCTCAATCTCGGTGAGTGGGTTCCAATGCTGGCTTCATGTCAGAGTCACTTTATAAAAAGAACCTGAGGCCTCGGTCCTATCTCCAGAGACTTTGGTGTTTTTTAAGCTCCCTACTTGGCCCTTGTGTGCATCCAGTGGAGAACTACTAGTTTTGATGCTGACACTTGATTCTGGGTGGGCCCAGGAAGATGGTGAAGGTACTGTCACATGACCTACTGGGAGTGGAGAGAAGAGGGGCATGGAAGAGGCTCTGGTCTGGGCTGTGTCCCTTCATCTCAAGCAGCTAGGAGGGTGTAGGGAAGTCCCCCAGCCCGGGCAGCCAGCATTGGTTTCATGGAAGCAGAGTCTGAGATAAAACCTGGGAACAGAAAAGGAACACCCAAGGGTCTCTGGAACAGGAAAGGAGAAGCCCCAGGTTTCCCCTTGTCATTATCCCTGTTCCTTCTCTCAGTGCTGTCTTCTCTGCCTGCTTGGAGCTATTACAGTAATCCTACAACCCACCCCACTTCCCATGCTGACTTGGACCAGAAGGGTGGGGCCGGGGAAGCTGAAATCTCCTTCCCTCCCTGGTCCTATAGCTTCCTGGGCCACATTTCCTGCATTTCTTCCCTCCGCCTGTCCTCTGAGTCAGAGTCCCCCTATCCAGCAGGTTTAAGCCCTGCCCTCTCTGGCTCATCGAATCTGGGTGGGGAAACCGAGGTCAAGAAGGGGCTGTGGGTGAGTGAGTCACCCAAGCTCAACTCTAATGCCTCCACCCTCCCCTTTCAAGCTCTACTAACACAGTTCATCAAACAAAAATGTGAACCCCCTTGCCCTCCCCTATGTTTGTGTGAGATGGGATGAAGCATAGAGGGGCATGTTTGGAGCCAAAACGCATCCCCTCTGGCTGGTGCCTCAGGCTGCCACGATTGTTGCAACAGCCCAGCATGTAAAAATGGATTTGCTCTTATGGCAGTCTCCAAGATATATTTGGCTCCTGTGATTTGCCAGCAACCAGGGTCATGACCTACTTAGCTCTGGTCACCTGGCCAAGGAGAGCACTCATATGCAGTCTCCCTCATCCTTTCTGGAGTCCAGGTTTGCAGCTTGGTGAACAGCAGTCATTGACATCACAGCATTCCCCAGTGCCCTCCCCCATCCGCCCACCTCCAGAATTTCATCATTGCTTGTTGTGCCTCTAGCTCAGAGGAACCAGAGACGTGTCTGGTTTTGGTAAATAACTGCATGAAATTCCCCACCTCTGTGGGGAATCTGAAGGGGGAGACCAGACGTGCCCTCCTGTGTGAATTGCTCCCTCCAGCCCCGAAATAGCGTAGGCTTTAGATCTTCAACCATCAGCAGTGACAATAATAGTTGAAATGCATGGAGCACTTAACACAGATCAGGTGCTTTGCACGATTGTCTCATTGAATCTTTACAATAACCCTGTGATGTAGGGGCTTTTAACTACCCCCATTGTACAGAAGAGGAAACCAAGGCTCAGAGAGGTTTAAAGGACTGGCCCACAGTTATGTTGACCTAGTCTTAGAGGCAGAGCTAGATTTCGAATCCAGGCAAGTTTGCCAGTTGAACTTGTACTCTTTACTCAGTATACTCTGCTAGGACATGAGACAGAGAGACCTGAGGTCAAGGGATCCTAGACAGGGCACATTATACACACACAGACACCACTACCTTCCAGGGGACCATCAGGGTTCAGCTGTGCAGGTATTCATTGGGCCTCTGCTGTGCCTCAACTCTGGGCCAGACTTTTCTGCCCTGGGCAGGAAACTAGAAGTTCCATCCCTACCTATCATCTGCAGCCCCTGCTGGGCTCACCCCAAGGGGCCTGAGGCTGTGCAGATTCCTTGGACCAGTTCCAGTTCTCTCTGATGCTTTCCAGTCATGGGAGGCCCACCCTTCCCAGTTCACCGCTGTGCAGACACATGAACACACATTTCCCTAGGGTCAGCTTCCATTCTTCCAAAACCACTCTCCCCTTTCACTGCAGTAGAACAAGGTCCTTCATTGAGCCCAACCCTTGGGGCTCTTCTGTCATGTCCCCTGGCAGTACCAGAGGAGAAGCTGTGTCCCTTAGCCCTGGCAGTACTCTGGGGTGGGGGAGGGACTAGACAAGGCTTCTCTCTGTCCCAGATGCCTCTGGCTACCCTGCAAGGCCTGAACAACAGCGATTGAGAGCATCAGGGTAGGGCTAAAGGGGTAGGCCAACTCTGCTGGAGGAGAAGGGAGAAAAACACCAATCATTGAGTCACATACTGAGTGCTTACTATGGGCAGACTCTGTCAGGTGCTTTATATTCATTGTCTCCCTAAATCCTCTCAACAGCCCTGTAATCCCTCTTTTACAGAGGAGGAGGCATATTGCCCAGGCAACTGTACCACACCTGGGATGCAAGTCCTTAACTTTCTGTCCCTAATCTTCAGTCACTATATTTCTTCTTCCTTCTCATCAAAAACTAAAAACTCAGGGACTAAGTCAGGAAAATGGAGTACCAGGGAGGTCCTTCCCATGTGATCCAGTGCCAGATGGAGGTGGGAGAGCTCAAAAGGTGAAGACTCCCTGAAGTCAGGAAGGCTTATCCCACCTTGGAAAGATCTTTAGATATGGAGCTGACCTGAGAGATAGCTTCATGGTCATGGGGAGCTAGTTCAGAAGATGGATGGAGGGGATGAGGTTTCCTAGCCTTGTGTGGCAGGTCCTGAAAGGGATCTTGAAAGCCAGGGACAGGGGGAAGAAGAAGATAGGCAGCATTGGAGAGATAGTAGAGGGTTGTGGGTAAAAGTTCCTCCCAGTTTTCGAGGCAGAGGGACCTGGGTTCAGATCTTGGCTCTGTCACCTTGGACATCACCTTCCCAAATGTATTTTCTCATCTACAAGATGGGGGTGCTAAAACAAGAGTTGAGGTGAGGATGAAAGACAGTCATGTTCTTAGCATGTGTCTGGCTCAGAATAAATGGTCAGTAAATATCCATTATTACTATTATTGTGTAGTATTACTCTTCATTCTGTTTTGGCCAGTACTGTGGGCATAACATGACTCTGAATAAATGGATGAACCCTTGAACACTTTAACAGGGGTTCTCTAGGAAGCTTGGGTCAGAGAGGCGCAGGCAAGAAAATGTGCACTTATATGGCCAGGAGTTGAGAGGTGTATGTGTTTCATTTTCTTAGAGCTACAAATGTAAGAATTAGTTATGTGAATTCCCAAGCCATAGATTTCCAGACAGGTCATTAAGGGAAAGAAATGTGTGAAAAAAGTATTTCTCAGGTTTTTATGCAAGGCTTCCAGTGGCCAGGTGTCTGGTCTGTAGTGTGGCCAAAGGAGACCAGAGGTCCTTGGAATATTAAGCCTTAAGGAAATTGGGTTGAGACACCATCAGAGGCAGAGGGATCCAGATCAGGGCTCACTTGAAATCCAGATGGCTAGAATTCTGAGGCCCTCCTTCTATACATGCCCATTCCCAGCCTCTCTGTTTCCTGGTCCGGCAGTTGGCTTATGCCTTGAGAATCTCTGTGGGTATTCAAAAGGAGGGAGCCCCTGTAAGTTATAATAACCATGGTGTTAGAAATGACAGCTGATGTTTACTGAGGACTTACTTTGTGCCTTCCTTTGTGCTTTGGTCTCAATTCATTAGCAACCATGCCAGGTAGGAATGATTGTGAGCCCCACTTTATGGACAGAGAAAGTAGAGCTCAGTGAGGTGATCACATTTACATCAGTAAGTAGGAGAGGAGGGACATAAGCCACATCACTGCCTGTTCTTTTTCATCACCCACCCCTCTGGGGTCCTAGCTCTGTTTGGTTAGAACCAGCTCCTTTGTCCCTTTCCAAGACCTCACCAATATCCCAGTAACTCAACTCTCAGAACTTCCTTGTTAGGTGTTTGAAAATCATTACCGTGGCTATAGATATGAGCTCAGTTGCCCAAGAGTGAGGGCAGAGTTGGTCCCAGTCTTTGATCATTGTCTCTTTTCTCAAGTATTGGTATACTTTGTCCCTTGCCCTTGCCCCATCAGCATTACCTGCCATCCTCCACTCCATTGAGCTAGTCATGGAAGTGGTAACAAGGTTTTCAAGGAGGACAGTCAGTCCTGTAACAGTTCCTTCCTGAGACCTCCTTTTTTTTTTAATATTTATTTATTTATTCATTCATTCATTCATGCTGTGTCGGGTCTTAGTTGCGGCATGAGGAACCTTTAGTTGCAGCATCCAGGCCCTTAGTTGCGGCATGCATGTGGGATCTAGTTCCCCGACCAGGGATCGAACCCGGGCCCCCTGCATTGGGAGCGTGGAGTTTTACCCACTGGACCACCAGGGAGTACCGAGGCCTCCTTTATGTGGCTAGCTTGGGGCCTTATTCTTGGGGTGCTCACTTCTGGGTAGAGAGAGGAAGCCTCACTCATCTTCACAGGACAGACAGGCCCTCAGACGATGGGATGGGAAGGAGACATCACCAGATCACCAGGGCATGGAGTAGCCACAGAAGGCTTCCTGGAGAAGGGCAGGTGTAGGCAATCCCTAAAAGAAGTAGAATTTGGATAGGAGGAAGGAGACTGTTGCAGGCTAAAGCGTTGAATCTCAGCCTGAGTATGGAAGCTTGGATGAATATGGCATGGAGAGAGCCCCAGGGAGGATGGGGATATCCTAAACCAAGTTTTTATCTGGAGGAATAGGAGGTGGGGGAGTGCCCTGGAAATGAAGGTGATATTGGGCTAGGAGCTCTTGAGCTTGAGTCCATTGGTGCTGGTTGCCATTATAAGCTCCTGGTCAGGAACATGATATCCTGGTGTGCTTTAGGAAGATCACTCCATCTGGGTGTATGGGATGAATTGGAAGGGGAGAATCTAGAGGCTGAGTCCAGTTTAAAAAGCAACAGTAAGCATTTATTAACTATGTTCTATATGCCAGGCCACTTTCCATTCTTTCTTAGCTTCTTGAATCTCAGAGCAACACTGTGAATTGGGTACTGTAATTATCTTCAGAATTTTTCAGGTGAGGAAATCAGTGCTCTGTGAGGTTCAAGTGACAGAGGTCCAGCTAGTGAGTTGGGGAGTCCAGACCATCTGATTCCAGAGCCCAAGGTTTTTTTGTTTTGTTTTGTTTTGTTTTGTTTGGCCAAGCCATATGGCATGTGAGATCTTAGTTTCCAGACCAGGGATTGAACCTGTGCCCCCTGCAATGGAGGTGTGGAGTCCTAACCACTGGGCTGCTAGGGAATTCCTGAGCCCAAGCTTTTAACCACTGTATTCCATTGTCCTCCAAGTCAGGAAAGAGGGTGTTTTGATAGTCAGGGGAAAGCAGGTACAGGCCATGAAGATAAAGAGTCGGGATACAGCAAGAAGAGCAGGCCTGGGGGCAGCAGGAGGGGCTCAGATTCCAAAGTAGCAAGTTTGGCTTATTAGGAGTCAAAGCAGGTTTCTGAGAGTGGGAGTGATGGAACCAGAAAAAAAATTACTCTGGAAGCAGGCTGAGTGTGTTAGATATCACCTGTATGAGGGACAAGGTCGGAGTCATGAAAGGAGAAGGGAAATGAGATTGGAGCTGAGGGAGCAGGCTATAGGCACCTCTCCTGGTTTTATGGGAGTCCCCCACCCTGGCTCCCCTGACATTCCCTCTTGTCCCCTCTGCAGCCATCGTCAGCCAGTGGCAGCAGGAGTCCAAAGAGAAGGTGGTGTCCCTCCTGCTGTCCCACCTACCCCTGCTTCAGCCAGGCAACACAGAGGCCAAGTCGGAGTACATGAGGCTGCTGCAGAAAGTGCTGGCCTACTCGATTGAGAGCAATGCCTTCATCGAGGAGAGCCGCCAGCTGCTCTCCTATGCCCTCATCCACCCGGCCACCACTCTGGAGGACCGCAATGCGCTGGCCCTCTGGCTGAGTCACTTGGAAGAGCGGCTAGCTAGCGGCTTCCGCACCCGGCCTGAGCCCACCTACCACTCACGCCAGGGCTCGGATGAGTGGGGTGGCCCTGCAGAGCTGGGCCCTGGGGAGGCAGGACCAGGCTGGCAGGACAAGCCACCCCGGGAAAATGGACACGTGCCCTTCCACCCACCCAGCTCAGTGCCGCCAGCCATCAACAGTATTGGGAGCAACGCAAACGCAGGTGAGGAGGTGGGAGTCCGGGAGGCCATGCCTACTTGAAAAGGGTCGGACCGGGCTCTCTCTTCACTCGCTCTGTGTCCCTGGGCAAGTCACATAACCTCTCTGGGCCTCAGCTTTATGAGACAGTGCAGAGGTTGTGAACTGGCATTCCCAGAGCCATTTCTGACCTGCAGACATGTTTTATTGAGCTCAAACTCAACAAAACTTCGGTTTTTGTTTTGTTATGTTTTTAAATAAATTTGGTGATGTAAGGAATTGGGAATTTTCTCCTAAAAATCTGGATTTTCAGCTTCTCTTGAAAAGTCAAAAGATCTGGCAACTCAAGGCCGGTATTCCTGGTGGCAACCGTAAGATGGAGTTGAATATTGGTCACCACCTTCTGACCCTGCACATGTGTCCCAGTCGGCCTCTGCCCCTACCATCCCACTTTGGGCATGTGTGGTAACTGCCTGACTTCAGTTATAGACCATCATAATTTGAGGTCCCTTCCAGCCCAGACATTCTGGATTTTTGTATCTGGCTCCAGCCTACAGACTCATTTCTGAGAAATGTATGTTTGTAAGCCTGTTCATATTAGGTGTAACTCATGCTGCAAGGCATTAGTAATAGTAGGTAACATTGTTGAGCATTGACTGTGCTCGGTACTCTTTTATAGGGACTTTTCAGGCATGATCTCGTTTAATCCTCATCACAACAATATCATTAGCCCCATTCTGCAGATGAAGGCACTGAGACTCAAAGAGACGAAGTCTTGTATTCAAGGTCACAGAACAAGTGGTGGAACTGGCCAGGGTTTAGACCCAGGCAGTCTGATACCAGAGCTTGCATCTGACCACTGTGCCATCCTTCAACTAAGTGGCTTCTTAGCAAGCACCCGCAGAGGCTGGGGTCAGCGGGAGGAGCTGGTATTCCAGTGAGTTTTTGAAATATTAGTTGAACAGTATAAGGGAGAATGGCGTTTCCAAGGATTGATGAGGTGACAGGACCTGACTCAAAGCAAGAAGTTTCCAAATTTAACCTCAAGGTGGCCGGCCCCTTTTTGCAGGCACTGGGTAAAGCAGGCCAGGAGAGGGTGGCAGTGAAATGTTACCTGTGCCAGTGGGTGGGGTGAACCCTGGGTCTTCATTGCCCAGCTGTGTGGCACCTGTTACATATCAGTTACCCCTGAGCCTCTTTCTTCCCCAGCTGAATATGGATATCCTGGTCACCTGCCTCCTTCCAAGATGCTGGCAAGAATCAGGGAAGATAGAGGGGTAGAAGGGTACTTCCGGGAACTCTAGCAACCCAAGGTGTCTTGGACCTTGTTTTCTAGTCTCAGAGCATGACAGTTTCTGGGTCCATGTTGGGAGGGTATATTAATAATCGTAATTCTAGCTAAAATATATTCAGTGTTTAGTCTTTGCCAAGAGCTGTTCTGAGAAGTTTATACTTATAAATTCATTGGCTGAGGCACAGAGGAGTCACTTGCCCAAGGTGGTGTAGCCAGAATTTCAGTCGAGGCAGTCTGGCTCCTCAGCTTATATTCTTTGTTACTGTGCTACACTGCCCCCACCTAAAAGTGACCCTCCCGAAGATGCTCATCAAGGGGAGGGGTCACCCATGCAGGGTGCCCATACAGTCCTTCCTCCCCACGATGGGGACAGCAGCTTTAGAGGACCAAGATGGAACAATGTTGAATAGGGGATTTGAACCAGAAGAGGAATTGGGCATTCCAGGTACAGGGCACAGCATGAATTGAAGGTATAGGGGTGTCAGATTGGAGGGGACAGTATGCAGACAGGTCTGGCTAGGATGGAGAAGTGCGAGGATTTAAATGAGTAATAGCAGTAGCAAATATTCATGTTTACCCTGTGCCAGAGACTTCACATGGAAGTGGAGACAGAGGGGGAAGATGAAGTGACTTGCTCAGGATCATGAAGTTAATAGATGGCAGAGCCAGAATTTGAACGCAGGTCTGTCTTGACTCTCAGATCTCAGTATGTTAGGGCCACATTCAGAGGGGGCCTTGAAGGCTAGGATGAAGCTTTTCAATTTCAATTTCAAGCAGTTGCAGGAAACAGGAAGCCATTAAACTATTTTTGAGTGGGGAGCAAGGATTGGCCTGTAAGGGCAGGCAGGGTGGGTTTGGGGTGCTGCCAAGGACAGGCCAGGGCTTCTTGGAGAGTGTGAGGCCCTGGATGTCTGGCCGGCATTCCTGTTTTTATGGTTCTCATGCTGTGGCCAGCCTCCACCCCAGTGTGGGTCCAAAAAGGGCTCCTCAGGAACTGCACAATCGTTCCAATGAGGATAATTTCCAGCCCTCTCAGCCTCGCCTTCCCGCTTCTTGGTTGAGAAGGGAGGAAGGAGGAAGCCAGGAACACCAAGACAGGCAAAAAAAAAAAGGCCTGTGTTAAGGGTTACCCAGCCCCCCCAGGGCCCAGAGGGTGACATCTTCTAGGAGTCCAGAGGCTTGGAGGAGCCCCTTGCAGAGAACCCCAGAAGTCACAGATAGGGGGAGGAGGCTAGCCTTAGTGGGTGGGATCAATGCGCTGCCCTCTTCCTCAGGTGACTTCCTGGCTAGGATCATAGATAACTGTCACAGATGAGGGAAGGTGCTTTGGGGACCTGTACCAGGCTGGTTGTCCTTCTGAGGCTGGGTGTCAGTGTAGCACTGGCAGGAATCCCAGCCTTTCCATCAGAAACAAGGCTGGGGTTCTTCTGTCTCTGCCTCCCAACTCTTTGTGGGAATTGGGGCAAAGGACTTCAGTTCCCCAGGCCTTGATGTTCTCACCTACCCAGGGTGAGGCTTTTGGCTTTGTTTCCTTTTCTTTTTTTGACTTGGGATACTTCTAGATTTCCTGTGTCAAGCTCAGAGGCCCCCTTAGCACCCTTAGGATGGTGGGTGCCCTCCTTTTGGACTTAGTGAAACTTTGAAAATTCCTGTGTATCTTGCCCTGACCTGGAGGTACAGAAATGATTGGGCAGGCTTGCAGCCATCCTATAGAAGCCCAGAGTCCAGTGTGAGGCAGGCTAGTGAAGGGGGCAGTGAGTGCTGGACTTGAGGTAGCACAGGGGCCCAGGGAACGCAGAGGAAGGAGTCACAGAAGAGGGAACACTTGAGCCAGGAGTGAAGGCTGAAGTGGCTGGCAGATAAGGGTGGACGAGCGGTGAGCTAGGGGGAGGGAATAGCACTTGTAAAGGTCTGGAAGCTCATGGGAACCTGCCCTGTCCTTAGAATGGTTAAAAATCAAGTTGGATCCTTTTTCTTACCTCAGGAATGGGATGGATGGAGGATGTGAAACATCCTGTGGATGAGGGCCTGGATTCACCCTGATTTGGGCTCAGTATAGGAAAAATCTTTGGGAGGTGGTGAAGCCCAATAACAGAGATGTTGAGGAAGCAGTTTATGTACTTCATTCACTTACTTTGCAAGTAGTTGTGAAGAACCTCCTCTAGTCGAGGCCCCATTGTAATTACTGAGGATACAATGATGTTTAAGACAGGACAGGGCCCTGCTGTCACAGGTCTTGTAGGAGGGGCGTACAGTTAATAAGCAAGTGAACAAATAACTAGATAAGGTCATTTTAAGCTGTGATAGGTGCTGTAAGAAAGATAAGGCAGCGGGGCTTCCCTGGTGGCGCAGTGGTTGAGAGTCCGCCTGCCGATGCAGGGGACACGGGTTCGTGCCCCGGTCCGGGAGGATCCCACATGCCGCGGAGCCTGCGCGTCCAGAGCCTGTGCTCCGCAACGGGAGAGGCCACAACAGTGAGAGGCCCGAGTACCGCCAAAAAAAAAAAAAAAGATAAGGCAGAGTGATATGATAGGGGGTTGGTGGGGGACAGCTACTGCTGACTGAGGGTTCAGGGAAAGCCTCGGAAGAGGTGATTGTTTGAGATGAGACCTGGGGGAGCCAACTGCTAAGATCAGGAGAACAAGAAGAGCGAGCAAGCACAGAAGTCCTGAGGCTGGAACAAGCCTGACTGTTCCAGGAACAAATTGGGGCGGGTGTGCGGCAAAGGCTAGAAGGGCTTGAACCAAAGGGGCGAGTCATGAGAAGTCAGAGGTGAGCAGGGCCCAGATGCTGCAGGGCCTTGTAGGTGTCAGGGGAGGAGTTTGAATTTTATTCTCAGTGCAAAGGGAAGCTACAGGTAAGATTTAATCGGGGACTGACTGGGTCAGATTTGCATTTTTAAGAAGGATCAGTGTGGCTGTTGTGAGTTGATTAGACTGTAGGGGGCAAGGATGAAGGCAAGAAACCGGTGAGGAGGTTGTGACAGTAATTCCAGCTAGGGACGCCAGTGACTTGGCCCAGGGTGCTAGCAGAGGAAGTGGAGCGGTTCAGAGAAGTGGCTGAGAGCTTGCTGATGGATTGGGGGGTGGAGGAGTGAGGGAACCAGCAGTACCTGGTAGGTGGTTCCCCTCAGACCCCAGGGTCCCTTCCTCTTGTTGAATTCCAGGGCTGAGCTGCCGTCCATGGCACTGACCAGGGGGACACGGTCTCCTGTGGTCAGATCCCCAAGCCTGACCTCTTGCCTCTCTCCCCCTCTGGCCAGGTCTCCCCTGCCAAATCCACCCCAGCCCGCTGAAGCGCTCCATGTCGCTCATCCCCACGAGCCCCCAGGCCCCTGGTGAGTGGCCGAGTCCAGAGGAGCTTGGGGCCCGGGCTGCTTTCAACACGCCCGACCACGCACCCCTCTCGCCCCAGAGCAGCGTGGCCTCCTCTGGCAGCGAGCAGACGGAGGAGCAGGGCTCCAGCCGGAACACTTTTCAGGAGGACGGCAGTGGCATGAAAGGTACAATGTGGGAGAGTAACACTAGGACCCTCCTCAAGAGGCTTCCGCAGAACTTACAAGGACAGAAGAGAGCTTGTAGCTGCCACCCCACCTGTCCTGTCCCTCCCCACCCAATTCTTCCTCTCCCCCACTCCATCCCCGAGAAGGGGACAGGTCTGAGGAGAGTGGACAGGCCCTGCCCTTAGGGCTTAAGACTGGGCAGAGGGACCCCCACAGGTCCCAGTCTGATGGGGGAAAAGCCCCTGCCCTCAGGCACACCAGTCTGACAAGAAAGCCAGGACACAGAGGTAACTGATGGAATAGAGGTTCCAGGAATACTTTTAAAGACATCAGAGGTCATCCTAGTACACATCCAACCCAGCAACTCAGGAGGATCGGGTGTTCTGACCAGGGAAGGCCACCTGGAAGGGTCTGGCTGGACAGAAGAAGGTAGCTTATGGACCCTTGGCTTCTCCCTACCTCCTTCCAATTTTCTACAGCTTTTAAGGCTGCCTATGATTTATGCCTGGTCCTTCCCCACATCTGTCACCAGGGCCAGATTCCTGATCTTAGGCCCTCCCTTCTTTTCCACAGATGTGCCCTCGTGGCTTAAGAGCCTCCGCTTGCACAAGTACGCGGCCCTCTTCTCACAGATGAGCTATGAGGAGATGATGACACTGACTGAGCAGCACCTGGAGTCTCAGGTAAAGCCGAGGGGACCATCGGGGCGGGGTTGGGGGCAGTACCATTTTGACATTACCCTTGCAGCCCAAGCCTCCTCTGCCTCTTTGGGCCTTGTTGGGGCACCTTCAGTACCTCAGCCTCCCATTTCCAGCTTCCTCTCCCCTTCTGCCCTACCGCAGAATGTCACCAAAGGTGCCCGCCACAAGATAGCCCTGAGCATCCAGAAGCTGCGCGAGAGGCAGAGTGTCCTCAAATCCCTGGAGAAGGTGAGGACCTGCTATCCCCATCCAAGGCCAACTGGCTACCCAGTGGTGCTAGTGGCTGAAGTCTCTGGGTCAGCCTTGTTGCTCATGTGGCCCCCACCTCGGGACCTCCCCAGCCCTAGGGAACCAGGGTCCAAGGACCAAGTGCAGGTCGGATCACAGGGTTCACTTGCTGTGGCTAAGCTAAGAGGCTCTCCTCCCTGTCTGTCCTGGCCTGTGTCTCCAGAATCTTGTTTGTTGACTCAGCCCCTCTCTTCCATTTCACTTTTCCATTTCTAGCAGCTCTTGCTGATAGAGCAGAATGTCTCCCCTGTGTGCATGATCTCTCTTTCCAGTTGGTTGTTTCTTATCCGCTCACTCTCCTTACACATCTGCCTTGATTTGCATCCCTTTTTCCCTTTCCCTGCCACTTACCTTCTGGTTTTTGCCCCCTTCGGTGTCTTAGTCCAGATCTCTGGGTCTGAATCTGGTTCCATCCTCGGTGGGACCCTGAGGCCCCACCTTCTAAGCTCCGTGGGACTCTACCTTGAGGGGGGAACAGGGACTGTGTATGTACAAATGTGTGTGTTTGTGCATGTGTGTGTGTGTGTATGCTCTGGCAGTGCCCTTACCTGCCTTCTCTGTGTGCTGGAACCCAGGGTCCCACCAGCTCTCTGCAAGGACTGTTTGACCCCACATGTATAGTCATTCTACGTAGCTCTGGGGGTTGGCATGTGACCCAGGCTGTGTCTTCCCCACTCAGGATGTGCTGGAAGGCGGGAATCTGCGAAACGCTCTGCAGGAGCTGCAGCAGATCATCATCACCCCCATCAAGGCCTACAGTGTCCTTCAGGCCACTGTGGCTGCCGCCACCGCCACCACCTCTACTGCCAAGGACGGGGGCCGGGGGGAGCTGCCACTGCCAGGTGCGGAGCCTCCCCTGGCTCACCCTGGCACAGACAAGGGCAGTGAGGCCAAGGACCCTCCAGCTGCAGAGGGCTACCCCCCTCCACCAGCTCCAGCTCCCACTGATGGCAGTGAGCCAGCCCCGGCTCCCGTCGCTGATGGAGACATCCCCAGTCAGTTTACACGGGTGATGGGCAAAGGTGAGACCACCCAGGGCCCAGCAGGAAATTCTGGGGCAGGGTGCCAAGTGAACCCAGGCATCAAAGGTCAAATCCAGTTTAAATGATGGAAGCAAAACTTTTCAAAGCACTCTGGGGTTTAGAGCACTACAGAGAGTGGCTAAGACTGAGATGACAGGGCCCCTGCCCTCAGGTGCATCCAGGCTGATGGTGGGAGACAGCCCTTACCCTCAAAGTGTCTCCAGCCTGAGCAGAAGATGGGACGTTGTGTCAGTGGAAACTGCATACAGTAAGGAGTGAACAGATAAGGCGAATCCGTTGGTTCTTTCAGAGGGGACTGAAGTCCACAGGATGGGTATGGTGAAGCTCTTAATGGGCTCGCCTTTTCCTAAGGCAGCACAGCGTAGGCAACTTTACACTTGGGTTTAAGTTGTTTCTTTTTTTTTTAATAAATTTGTTTTCTTTTTTATATATATAAATTTATTTATTTATTTACTTTTGGCTGCATTGGGTCTTCATTGCTGCGCACAGGCTTTCTCTAGTTGTGGCGAGCGGTGGCTACTCTTCCATTTCAGTGTGCGGGCTTCTCGTTACAGTGGCTTCTCTTGTTGCAGAGCACGGGCTCTAGGTGCGCGGGCTCCAGTAGTTGTGGCGCGTGGGCTCTAGAGCGCAGGCTCGGTAGTTGTGGCTCACGGGCTTAGTTGCTCCATGGCCTGTGGGATTTTCCCGGACCAGGGCTCGAACCCGTGTCCCCTGCATTGGCAGGCGGGTTCTTAACTACTGCACCACCAGGGAAGTCCCAGGTCTAAGTTCTTTTAGCTGAGTGGCCTGGGACAAGTGACTCAACCTCTCTGAGCCTCAGGCTAAAAATGCCTACATTGATGAGACTGTTGCAAGACTTAAAAAGGAGAAAAGGTATCATTTACTTCACATCTGCTTTATGCCAGGCACTATGCTGGGCACTTTATATATCCTCGTGATAAGCCAGGTACAGTGCTTGGCACATAGCTAGTACTCATCCAGCATGAGTTTCCTGACCCACCTTCTGTGCCACCCAGCTGGGCCAGGGAAGCTGGAACATGGCAGAGGGCATGCTGGTAGCTAACCTCCTGCCCTCTCCCATGTCCCCAAGTGTGCACCCAGCTGCTGGTGTCCCGACCAGACGAGGAGAACATCACCAGTTACCTCCAGCTCATCGAAAAGTGCCTGACTCATGAGGTGAGGCCTTCTCTAGGGGTCCCAAGAAGGGAAAGGCTGCCCCATCACTCTCAGGACCAACATTCCTTATATAAGCAATAGGGCCCTGCCTGACTGGCACGTGCCCACCTCTCCAGCCCTCATCCTTCCCAGTGTTGGGTTCAGTGGATGCCCCTGAGCACTCATTCTTAGAGCCTTAGTACATAATCCTCTGGGGAGTAAGTCCCCCTCCCGTCTGCTGGCCCCTCAGATCTCAGTTGATACGTCTGTATCTCAGGGATGCCTTGACCAGCCCCTCATAACATCAGGTTTCTTGTGCCTCCTGTGCTTCTCCCTCACAGCATTTATCACTTATGAATGCGTGTGTATCTTCTCCCCAACTAAACTGTAAGCTCCGTGAGCACAGGTCACCTCTGTGTCCCAGCTTTGACCAGCACAGGCAGTTGATAAATATTTGAGCAAATGGATGGAAGGCAAATGTGAAAGAAGCACACACACCCCTTTCACCCCCCTAATTCTAGGCTTTCACGGAAACGCAGAAGAAACGGCTGCTGTCCTGGAAACAGCAAGTGCTGAAGCTCCTCCGGACCTTCCCGCGCAAAGCCGCACTAGAGATGCAGAACTACCGGCAGCAGAAAGGGTAGGCGGGCGGCCAGGGCACAGGGGCTTCCCTCCCTAGGCCCTCGTTGGTTGACAGGTAGTGCCTAGAGGGGTGATTGCATTCTGGGCTGGGAATCCTGTTATACTCATTCAGTAACTGGGTGTCTTTATGTAAGTCACCCAGTGAGGACTTTGCCATAAGAAAATCAGGTGGTCCCTGATTTTCCATTAGAATAGAGTGCTGAGCTGGCAAGACCAGCACATGTCCCCATAGCTGGCCCCTTGCCTGTCCCTTGTTCTCCTCACCTGTGTGCAGAGGACTCTGAAGTCCCTTCTCACTCCAAACAAACAGCAGAAATATTGTGCTTGAGAATTGAAATTAGGAGAACTACCTTGAGTGGACTTGAGGAAACCTTCGTACACTCCCCGTCTCCATCCTGGGAGTACCCTTGGGGCAGGAGGAGACAATGTACAGAGCAGGGCCTTGGACAGGGAATCCCTGCTCAGAGCAGATCTGTGTTCTGTCTACCCATGGGGGCTGCCGGGGGGCGGGGGCGGTGAGGAAGAGGTGAACAGATGGGCCCCATCCACCTAAACTGACACCCTGCCTTCTGCTCTCTCACAGCTGGGCATTCGGCTCCAACTCACTCCCCATAGCTGGCTCTGTGGGGATGGGGGTGGCCCGGCGGACCCAGCGGCAGTTCCCAATGCCTCCCCGGGCCCTTCCGCCTGGCAGAATGGGCCTTCTGAGCCCCTCGGGCATTGGGGGCATCTCCCCTCGACATGCCCTCACCAGCCCCAGCCTTGGGGGCCAGGGCCGACAGGTGAGCCAGCTGGAAGCAAAGGACCTGGCACTTCTGGGGTTGGGGTGGTGGTGCCTGAGATATGTGTCCATATCTCTGTGTCTGGGCCCAGCGTAGAGGGGAGGGGACGACTCTGCCAGCTCCACCACTTCTGGGTCTGGGCCTCTTCCCCGCTCACCCACTGCTTTCTCTCTCCCATGCCACATGCAGAACCTGTGGTTCGCCAACCCTGGAGGCAGCAACAGCATGCCCAGCCAGAGCCGCAGCTCTGTGCAACGGACCCACTCGCTCCCGGTCCACTCGTCCCCCCAGGCCATTCTCATGTTCCCTCCAGGTACAGTGCCCACCCTTACGACTCGGCCTCAACAGCACGCTTAGCTGGCCTTTCTTTTCTCTTCTGGGTCTTGTACACACTATCCCTTGCATGTGTTCTGTCTCTCTGTCTTTCTGTCTTTCTCCCCCTCCCTGTCATCTTCTCTCACTCCTCATTCCCACCCCCCCCAATCTCTATCTCTCTCCCTCCCTGTGTCATAATCTTACTGTTCATACTGGTCTCTGTCCCCATCTTCTTCGAGAATCATTAAGTACTCAGTTTGGAAGGGTGGAGGGGATGAGACAGTCACAGCAGCCAGGTGTCTATAGAAGGGAGTCCTGCCTATCAGTCCACTGGCATTCTTTCAGGAGCCAGTTGACCAAGCAGGAACCAGTAGACTTCAGCTCTTGGAATGGGTTCTACACTAAAGGGTGGAAGGTCTGTCTTCCCCTCTGCTCACAGATCAGCCTAGAGATGGGAGATTAGAATGAGGGCAAAGTGGGCAAAAGGGAGGTTAGAGAAGCGCTAGCCCTGCCTTGCTCAGTAAGTCAGGGGTGATTCCCTATGCCAGGCCTGCTGCTGGGCACTGAGGCTGCAGAAGCAGATAAGGCTGGTTTGGAAAGGGCTGCCTCTAGAGAGAGCTTAGATTTGCCTGTAACCCTAAACTCTTCATGTCGCAAATAGCCAAATCAGTAGGGATTCTTTATGAGATTATGCGAACTGCCATCTGTGGGAGGCAGGAGACCCCATTTGTCCCATTCATCCTAGCACAGGGCTTGGCACATGGTAGGCATCTGTAAATGATATTAAATGACTGGGTGGATGAATTACAGGAGTAAAAACTGAGAACAGTTCTTTTCACCAGTATGCCGTGTGCTAGACTGTGTCAGACAGCTTTTCTGCACTGTTGAATGAAATCCTCCCAACTGCACATGTGAAGGCACTGATATTATTTTCATCTTATTAGTCATGAATCTGAGTCTCAGGTGATTTGCCCAAGGTCAAAAATTTTTTTTATTAAGGAGAGACAGTTAGATGGTCTGACATGGCTCATGGGTTCAGAGGGGAGGTCGTGAGAGGTGAGGCTGGAGCGCGAAAGAGCAGGGTCTTCTAAACCTAGGTAGAAAGCTTAGAGTTCCTCTAGAAGCAGTGAGGAGCCCAGGAAGGGTTTTAAGCAGTGGGTGGTGTCAGGTCTGCCCAGGGACCTGGTGGGCTCTTGCCCAGGTTCCAGAACAGGAGGCCCTTTGAGAGACTATGAAGACCAGCCCCCATGGCTGCTGTCCAGATTTGCCGTGCCTGCTAGGCCTTCCCCAACAGCGTCCTGACAGAGGAGCAAGTCCAGGTGGGAGGGAACGGCTCTAATTAAGCTTCCGCACCAAGTACAGAGCAAGTCATCAGTCAGGGAGCACGGGGCTGCCCAGTGCTCAGGGCAGATGCCCTCACTGTGCCCAAGGGAACGTGTAGTGTGTCCAAAATAGTCGTGGCCTCCAAGCAGCTCCCCCAGCTTTACATTACTTCCTGTCAGCCTTTCTCTGTGTTGCCAAGCCTCTGCCCTTGCCATCATCACCTCTGCCTGCTTAGTGGCACTCCCAGGCCTGTCTGTCCTTCAGCTCTGCCCAGTCATACCTTCCATCCAAGTGTGTGCATGTCTTACATTCTCTGTGTCTCTGTCTCTTGCCTTTACTTTCCCTTCCTCCCTTTCCCTCTCGTCCCCCTCAGCCTCTGCCTCATGCCAGCCTTTGTCTTCATGACTCTACCTTTCACCCCAGTCCAGTTCTTACTGCTTCCATTCTCCTGTCTCCCACCCAGACTGCCCGGTCCCTGGGCCTGACCTGGAGATCAATCCCACTCTGGAGTCTCTGTGTCTGAGCATGACAGAACACGCCTTGGGTGGTGAGCATTTCCTCTTTCCCTGACCCAGCTCCCACCTACCCACCAGCGTCTCCACCTCTGAACTGAGCAACTCAGAGTCATCCTGAGGGGTCCCCAGGGGAGGCCGGACTCCAGGGAGGGCCCGACTGGGATGACAGGCTACCTGAGCACCTTTTCTTGGGCCTCCCGCCAGCTCCTGACCTTCCTCCCTTCCTCCCTTTCTTACCACAGATGGGACAGACAAAACCTCCACCATCTGACGGGACCCACAGCCCAGCGCACCCATAGGCTCCCCGGGCGGCGGGCGGGGGCCAACCCCCAACGGGCTTCTCCGCGACAGCGAGAGGGTGGGCTGGCTCAGCTATACATTCTAATATTTTTCTACTCTCTCACCCTTTTAACTTTTGTTTAACATTGGCACACGCCTTGCTCACTCCCAGGCCCGTCGAGGGATCTCTGCTGAGGCCCAGGGAGGTAGGGGGCAGCCAGGATAAAGGGGGCAGGGACTGGCCAGCCTGCCTGCCCCCTCCTTCCCTCCTTCATCCCCCACCTGGCCCCGTCCCACCCCTGCCTCCTCCAGACTGCCGGCCACCTGCCCCTCCCAAGGAAACAGTCTCCCCCAGAGACTCACTGACCCACTATCTTGTGGGGCCTGCTCAGAACCATCTGACATTTGGGGAGAGATGAGTGAGGTAGATAATCTGCTCTCCTGAACGTTATTTGAGAGGAGCTGAGGAGATAAAGGCGGGTGAGGAGCGTGTCTGTCTTGGCGCGCTCTCTGTCTCTCTCTCTCCCTCCCCCCGCCCCTCACCTCCTTGCCGCAGCCTTCTCCTTCCCCATTCCCATCATTCCCCAAGGACAGGAGCCACTCTCCTCTCCCTCACCTCCTTTTGCCCTGTTTATCAGAGGTTCTCTGCAATTAATTTCTTAGGCCTATTTAAGATACATATTTATATAGTTCTTAACGGTTTTTCTCTCTGATCATTCCCTCTCATTTTTAGAACCCCCAGGCCTCTCTCTGAGCCAAGAAAGTGGCAGGGGGAGCCTGAATTTTACGAGGGGAGAGGGCAGAGCCCTCTCCTCCAGACCCCTCTAGCCCTTCCCCACTTGCCCCCAGCCCTGGCTCCCCAGATGCAGAGGTTGAAGGCTGGGAGCCAGGGCAGCCAGTGAGGTCAGGAAGTCTGTTGCCTTAACGTCTCCTTCCCCCACCGAAACAAATCCTTCTCCACTCCCAGGTCTGGTTGCTGAAAGACTTGGGGGTAAGGAATAAGGGAAAGGGGATGGTTTTTGGTTTCTTTCCCCACCCCCATCCCCTTTTCTTTCACCCTTATCCCACCCCCACCCCCCATTCTGTCATGACCTCACTTAAGTGGAACACTATATCATAAGCCAGAGATTCGTCCCAGTCCCAGAGTCATACAGACCCTCTGATCCCTGTTCCTCCTGAGGGGTTGTGCTGGGGCCCAGGTGGAGGGAGGGGATTTGGGGGTTCAGGCTGTAGGGAAGCCAGGGTCCTCTATTCCAACCCCTTGTCCCCCTCAACCGGCACCCCCCATTGGGACATTCTCAAGCTTTTCACACCGAAAAGGAAAAAATGTTATTTTTAGATACATTTTATGAATAACTTTTGTTATGAATATGGCTGGTAACCATTGTGTATGTTATTAAAGATACAAAACGTTGGGAAAAAAAAAAAACCAAAAAAAAAAAAATTTTAAAACCACCACCCTCCCTGCACTCACCCATTCCCCAGACCTTCTTGCCTCTGCTCTCCTGGTCTGGACCTCCCTCAACTCTGAGCCCAGGGAGAGGGAGGAAGCCAGGGGGTGGGGTGGCCCTGGGGACCTGCTCTAGGTCCCCACCTCCTCTCCCAGTGCCGGGCTGGGTAGGGTGTCAGGTTTATTTATGTACCTCTTGCACACTCATCAACCTATGCAAGTCCCCCACCCCGGCCCCTCCATGTTTCTGTGCCTTTGCTCATTCCCCTCCAACTCCCAGGGCTTCTCCAATCCTCTCCTAGCCCGGGGAAGTGGGATGGACAGGGGCCACCTCGTTTTGGAATCAGCAGGGTGTTCCTCTTAGAGACCCTCACCTCTTCCCAGCCAGTCCTGTCTTGTTCACTACCCATAAGGGTGAGCTGGGTCTTCCTGGCCCTGGGAGGCGGTGAGGGACACCCCCATACACAGTGGGAGGCAAGAGTTGCCCCCCTCCCCCCACCTGTCAGCAGAGTGTGCAGGACGCAGGCGGCCCCACTCTGATGGGCAGGACCCTGATCCACTCCCGACCCTCCCCGGCCCCTGCCCCTCCACCATGATTTCACTCTCCCTTCTATTCCCAGCCCCACCGGCAGAATCAGCTTTGAGTAACTGTACAGTTTTTCTCGCTGTTGGAGAAGACTTATTTGTTGGAGTTTCACTTGTTTAATGGTCTGGGCTTATTTTGGAAAAAAAAAAACAAACAAACAAACAAAAAGGATTCTGACCTTTGTTATGCTACATTTCATGAAAAACCTGGTGGCCCTGCCTTTGTGGCCTTTGCTTCTGTGCCTTAAGCACCAGGGGTGCGGGGGTGGGGGTGGGGGGCAGGAGAATGAGACCATGGTGCCTGGAGGGTAAGTAAAGAGAAGTTGGCTTTATTAACAGCAGAGGTTTGGAGGAGAGGGAAACAAAGCAAAAGGCTCACAAAGAGACCACTTGAAAAGTGCCTTCCTGCACGAAATAACTATCCGCATCAGCCCTGAAGGCCCTGGGACTCAGTCACTGTCACTTTCAGCTTCACTGGAATCAGAAGCTGCAGCTTCACTGCCATCCTCCTGAGCAGAATGCTCGCTGCCACTGGGGAAGGGGCTGGCGCTCCGGCTCCGCTGGCCACCCCCATCGCTGCCACTGTCTGAATCATTGTCACTGCCGTGGGCCCGTCCTCTGTCCTCATCATCAGAGTCAGCGTCGTCCTCCGAATCAGCATCACTGCCGAAGATCTCCTCTTTGTCCCTGGCAGCCCGGGCCTCATCCTCACTGCTTTCATCCTCACCGCTGCCACTCTTGTCACTCGCCTCGTCCCTGTCACCCTCCTCCCGTTCACTCTCACTGCCTGAGCGCTCATCCTCGCTGCCTTCCTTCTCACTGCTGCTGCCCTTCTCTCGTTCCTCATCTGTGAAGGAGCAAGAAACAGTAAGACCCAGTTCCCCACCCTCCCAGGGCTCCCAGAGTTTGACCTGTCCAGCTTTACCTGAGCCCCCAGCTTCTTTCTCTTCCGTCTCCATTTCCTCCTCTTCTTCCTCCTCGGGTTCGTGGTTCTCCAGCTGGGCCTTCCGTGCCTCCTGGAAGCAGCAGGGTTGAGGGGAAGGGGAGGGTGTTCTATCTGGTTCCTGCCCCACTCCTCACGAACTACCACCCTCCCCATGGGTGCCCTGGGTCAGTGGTGCTTGTTACCTGGGCTTCTAGTTCCTTCTCATTCATGTCCCGGTGTTTGACCACAAGCAGGGCATTGGTACCCGACTGAACCCCAGCCTTGGCTCGGCGCTTACTCAGGCGGACCCTGTGGTGGTGGAGTTGGGGGAGGGGTGTGTGAGATTCAGTTAAGGACCCCCGTGGGCAACCTGGTCTAATATGGTTCTTAACCATCCTTACTCATCTATGCTTAGCCTAGAGCAGACCAGAATAAATACAGACTGAATAAAGGAGACTAAACTTGGGGGTAAGGGACGGGTGGCATGACAGCCATCAGGATAGCAGTTTGGTTGCCCTACACTTTATATGTGTGTATATGTATGCCCTGTACACATACACATAAACCTATAAAGAAAGAGACTTTAATGTGAACTAGACACCAACACTTTAAAAGAACATAATCTGGATTTCTGGCTTTTGGAAAATAAGATTCTGTGACCCCCACCCCAGGCCTTTGTTGCCTCGCTGCCACCCCCCACCCCCACCCCAAGCATAGCGGTAGATGGGTTGCTGTGCTGGGTCACAGTGCCCCTTGGAGGTTGCCAAGAGCTCCAGGTCATCCAGCCCCCAGCAGCCCACTGTGCCTTTTAGATTTTGTGTGTGTGTGTGTGTGTGCAGTATGCGGGCCTCTCACTGTTGTGGCCTCTCCCATTGCGGAGCACAGGCTCCGGATGCGCAGGCTCAGCGGCCATGGCTCACGGGCCCAGCTGCTCCGCAGCATGTGGGATCTTCCCGGACTGGGGCACGAACCCATGTCCCCTGCATCGGCAGGCGGACTTTCAACCACTGTGCCACCAGGGAAGCCCCCTTTTAGATTTTTTTGCCTTAATGGGATCAGAATTTGGATCTCTCCTTTAAATAGAAACTCCAGGTCACACTTTCCCAACCTTACACCAAGGGTCCCAACACAGCAGTAAACTTTTAACCATCAGGGAAGTCTGGGGGGTCATGTTTTTTGAACTTGGGTATCTAGCGCTTCATTTAAAACATTCATGCTAATTTTATGTATTACTCCATACTTTAGCTATGTTTACTCTTACACGAAGTCTCTTATTAGTATCGGTAAACTTGGTAGTCCTACTCTACATAAAAGCTCTAAATATCTCCAGTGTTAAGTAAAGATTTTTTCTGGGTTCTTGTGTTAGAACCAGGTCCAGCCCACATGCATGAACAGGCTTCTGCTCTTACAAATGCACATGGCAAATCTTTAGGTATAAATGACCTCCAAGGTGGCTCTTGCACACCCCAGGGTACTGAAGTACAAGCCCAGGCTAATCTGAGTGAGGTAGGACTGTGCTGAGTACCTGGTCTCCAACTCATTGTAGTAAACCCCATCACCCTCTCGGAAGATGAAGAAGTAGTTCTCCTCGTAGCCCTTGCTAGCCTTGTTCTTCACATTCCAGTTGTACTCCCGAGCAATCTTGTAGTCGTACCTGAGGATAAAGGGGATAGGGTCAGCCCCATTTCTTCCCTGTGAGGGAGAAAAGGAGACACTTCTCAATACCCAAAACCTAACCCCAACCCACGCACACGTCATCTGGTGCATAATCCATCTCCTCTTCCTGGTCCCGTTTTCGTTTCTTCAGTGTTTCTTCCACAGGCAGGAAGTAAGCCACAAATTGGTTCCCTTCCTCATCCATCATGCCCCTGGTTGGGGGAAGAGGAGGAGCAGTTAAGAGTGAGTGAGGAGAAAGAGACAATAAGAAGCAGGCCAAGGTGGACAGCAGGGCCACTTACCTGATCATGGCCTGAGACATCATCTCCAATGCAGCTGCACCACTTGTGTCCTTGGGGGCAGGGTCTGAATCAAAGATTACCTGAGCGCAAGGGTTGATCCACATCTGGGAGATGGAGGGCACTGGAGTTAGACTGGGACAGGCAGAGATGGCAGGCTATCCCTCTCTGCCCCCTGCCCTGGATCTGACCTTAAAATCTGGAAAGACAGGCATGACCTCCACTGGTGTCACTCGGGGCTTGCTGTAATGCTGGGAGATCTGGCAGAGGCAAAAACAGGGTGAGAAGGAGTACAAAGTGCTCTGGAACCACACCTCTGTCTGCCCCACCCCCACCCCCTCATCCCAGTGCCTCAATTACGGATTTCTGGGCATCCTCAAAAGTCTTCTCAATAGCTGTGATCTGGCTATCCCTGTCTTTGTATATTTCTTCCTCAGTGAACTGCTGCTTCACAGAAACCCCAATCCTAGGGAGGAAGAAAAAGGCCTTTAGAGGCCACTGGATATACCTGAATGCTCCACCTTCCCTCCCTACCCACCACAACTTACTTAACCTCAGGCTTCTCATTGGAAATGCCATAACGATTGAACTCGGTGGAGATGTACTCTGTCTTCCGCATCCATGGCACCACCTTTGCATGCTGCTGGGATCTGGGGCAGGAGAATCGGGCACCTCAGGACCCCACTACCTTCCTCCCATCAGAGCCAGTCCTGAGTCCCCACTCAGCACCCCCTCACCTCTTGGAGCTGGTAGGGGCCTGAATCTCCTCTTCCAAAAGCTTCTCATCAGCTGGATCTAGGAGTACTAGAAGAGAGCAAGGTGAGAGAAGGACTATGACCGAGGACCACAGCCAGCCCTCGCTAGCCTAGGGGAGGCCCTCCCTGTCTCCCAACACACCATTGGGGTCGATGCGGTATGTATCAGGGTTGATGAGGTCAATGGTAACTCCCAGGTCTGGCTCAGTCAGGAGATCATGTTTGTGCTGTTTCTCCAAGGAAGTCGCTTTGTACTGGACGAACCTGGGTGGGGAAACATGCCCATTATGGTTGCCTAATTCCAGGCTTATCCCTCACATCCCTGCTTCCCAGAGGCTAAGCTCCTCCAGGAAGGAACTCAGAACGAAATGTCCCCCATGTTGGAGTCAGCAGGCGAGCAGCACTCGAAGAGACTTGGACACTGCTTCTTTACTTAAATATTTACGGGGCACCTACTATTATGTGCTAGCTACTGTTGTATGCCTGAACAGTCAACAAGAGCAGTCCTTGCCCTCAAGGAACTCATATTCTAAGTGAGGCGTTTCCCTAACCCCCATGCGCAGTCTCACCTGTTCTGGTCGAAGGGATAGGTGATGAACTTGGGGTCGAAGGGGATGTCAGGGAGGCTGTTGCAGTACTTGACTCGGCAGACCACTCCAGACCTGGGAACACAGTGGCTCAAAACCCAGCCCCTGATGCCCCACCTCTGTTCGCAACCCCCATTGGCCCACCCGTCCTAAGAAAACACAGTGGAGCTCACCTCTCAGGCAGAGTCCGGTGAGAATTGGGCCTGGTGGGTAAAAGAGAGACACTGACAAAAGATGGAAAGAAAGAGATTGACAGGAGAGCAAAGGGGGTTTTTCCAAGCTTTTAAAAGGGAAGGAGAGAGTGACAAACGCTAATTCCTCTTGGAAGGGGTGTCCCAAGTGCTCTAATGAGAGTGTCACGTATTCCTTTCAGTGTCCCTAAAGGCTTTAATGAATGAAACCAAGTGCTCAATCCCTTTTGAAGGAGATGTGTTCAAGTACTTTAATAAAAGTCACATGCTCAATTGTTTTTGGGAAAAGGGTCTCCAAACGTTTGACTGGAAGAATAAAAACTCAATCCCTTCTGGGTAAAGTCCCCAAGAGCTTAATTCCAGAACTCCACGGCAGGGAAAGAGGGGGGCAACACGCCTTCTGAGACCCGCCCCCGTGAGCGGGTGAGCGCTCCGTGACGTCACGGGCAGACCTGGGGGTGCTGGTGAGGTTGTAGGCTGACAACTGGGCTCGACCCTCCCACCTCGCCGATGCCTACCCAAACGTAAAGAAAAACAGTACAGTCAGGCGCCGTATTGCCTACCTGTGGCCATCCTCGCGCTGGGCCTGGGTCTGGATAGTGGGCGCCATGGCGACGACGCGAGATAAGTCCTAACAAGAGCCTCAAAAAGCCACGGTAAAAGGCGTGCCGACTTCGGCGCACGCCCAGTCCGAGGCAGGGCTCGGGTGGACACCGCTCTCCTCAGGGATAGGGTCGG